TAGTGTTTTCAGATTCCAGCTTGTTTTCACAGGTTACCATGCCGACGAAGAATGTATCGCACAGGTCAGTTTCCTCTATCATTTTGACAGATCGCCCTTTTTGTTTAACTTTTCCTTTAGAAAAACATTGTTTTGCGAAATTATTTTTGCCATAACACTTCGCACATTTTTTCCCAAAGGCTGGACATTGCTTAGGCTGATGTTCAGTACCACAACGTTTGAAATTATAATTGCCATCCTTCTGTTTCACAGCTCTGGACGTGCGTCGCTTCTCTTTGAAAGATGCGGCACCAATTGCAGCATCTGCACTTGGAGACACGCTTTTTGGCATCATTTCACCAAATGTTTTCACATGAAGTTGAGCAAGATCACTGGCTTGACAAATTTTAATTGCCTCTTGCAAAGTGAGCTCTGTTTCTCTCAGTAAGCATTGTCAGAGTTTTGCATCATAGATGCCAAAAACAATCTGATCTCTTATCATTGAATCATTTAGCTGATCAAAATTGCATGTCTTAGCCTTTAGTCTCAAGTTATCAAATGTTTCATGCGGTTGCTGCACACGTGAACGAAACACATATCTTTCATACGTTTCATTCTTTTTGGGCGAACAATGAGCAGTGAATTTGGCCAGCACATCATCAAGCTTGTTTCTATCTTCATTCTCATTAAAGATGAAAGTATTATACACTTCAATAGCCTGTGGACCAGCAATCGTCAGTAGTAAAGCAACCTTACGTGCTTCTGGCTTTGTGTCCATCCCGATAGCTCAAATTGCTGCTTGAAACTGCGCCAGTTGCTGTCAACATTTCCCGTGAGCCTCAAGTTCTCCGGTGGTTTTAGAGTACCCATTATGTCGCTTTCACAACAGGCTGCTTTTATTTTGATTTCACTCCTGGTACCATGTTTTGTTCAGTCCTTAAATAAAATGTCTCTCAGTGCAGTCTTAACATGTCTGTCTTTATTCACAACATGCGACGGGACACAACACAACCCAAGTTTGTTTTTCTTCTTTCTTAATTGCCATGTATCCAACACATAACACTTAACACACTGCCATCTAGTGGCTTCCTAGAGTAACAGGCACAATCAATTGATATCATCACAAGCGGGACTAGGGGAATCACCGACGTACCCGCAGTGGGGCAGCGAGGTGGAGCGCAGGGACCCGACCCAGAAGGCAAAGCATCCCGGAGTGGGGTCTAAGTGCGCGGTGCGACACTTACGTGGCTCCACGGTTGGGCAGGGGGCGCGTGAGGAGGCATCGCATCCTCGAGCTGGGCCCTGCTGCCCACTGGCGAAAGGAGAGGGGGAGAGAAGTGCTGAGGCTGTGTCTCGTACACTGCCATCCTAGCCCTCTTGGGACCCGGAGAGAAAGGAAACTGCTCTCTTGTTGAATGTTTGGTTACCACTGGCTGGGGAGCCAGTGGCGGAACAAAACAAAAAGGGAACAGAAGATTCTCCACCCAGCCCTCCTCCAGGAGAAGGAGTGGTGCAGTCACCATCTCCTGAAGAGCAGGATCCAGAGTCTCCGGGTTGCCCGTCTCAGGGATGCTGCTTTCCTGCTGCCAGCTCCACGCTGCGGCTGGTGTGAAGGCTGCTGCTGGGGCCGAGCTAGAGCAGAGGTGGAGGTAGCTGAAGGGCACCCTCGGTGACGAGCGGGCAGAGGAGCTGTAGCTGGAGGTGGGGTGTTGACAGCAGTAGGCCACCGGAGCAGGATGTGCTTAATTGCCTCCATCTGCTTCTGTGCGGTGGAGAACTGCTGGGCGAAGGTCTCCACCGTGTCGCCGAAGAGGCCAGCCTGGGAGATCGGGGAGTCCAGGAAGCGGTGTTTGTCGGGTGTTGACAGCAGCGGGCCGCCGGGGCAGGATGTGCTTAATTGCCTCTGTCTGCTTCTGTGCAACGGAGAACTGCTGGGTGAAGCTCTCCACCGCGTCGCCGAAGAGGCCAGCCTGGGAGATCGGGGAGTCCAGGAAGCAGTGTTTGTCGGACTCCCTCATATCTGCCAGGTTCAGCCAAAGATGGCGCTCCTGGACCACCAAGGTGGATATCGTCTGATCCAGGGACCGCGCCGTGACTTTCGTCGCCCGTAGGGCAAGGTCTGTCACAGTGCACAGCTCCTGCATCACACCCGGGTCAGAACTACCCTCGTGCATCTGCTTCAATGCCTTGGCCTGGTAGACTTGCAGAAGGGCCATGGTGTGCAGGGCGGAGGCGGCCTGTCCAGCAGCTCTGTAAGCCTTGGCCATTAGAGCGGATGATAACTCTGGACGGGAGGCGTGGATTATCCCACCAGGCGGCAGCGCTCTGCGGGCAAAGCTACATCACAATAGCGCGCTCAACTGAGGGGGGATCTCCACATACCCCTTAGCCGCCCCGCTGTCGAAGGTAGTGAGGACGGAAGAAGCACTAGCTCTGTTTCGGGCAGAAAAAGGTGCTTTCCAAGACCTAGTAACCTCTTCATGCACCTCCGGGAAGAATGGAACCGGAGGTGGACGCCGAGGATCGGCGTGCTGCACCCCCAGGAACCAATCATCCAGCCTCGAGCGCTCGGGAGATGGAGGGGGTTTCCATTGCAACCCGACGCTCTCAGCGGCCTGGGAAAGCATAGCAGTCAGCGCTGGATCTGACTCGGCCAACGCTACCTTCCCTGATGGAGGCAACGCGGCCGAGTCTTCATCTCCAGAGCCTAGCTCGTCCCACGATGCAGTGATCGACATCCTATCGTCCGGCGGGGCTCCGAACGAGACGCTAGGCCCCACCTGCGGGGGCTCAGCAGCCTCATCATGGAACACCACGGGCTGCGATGTGCTGGAGGAGTGAGGTGCACTCGGTGGGGAAGCCCTCACTGTAACCCTCAGATCGCCCTGACCATATGCCGAAGTAGTCTTCCGCTGCTGAGAGACAGAGGAACTAGAATGGGGCATGGCAAGGGGAACTCCCCCTCGTTCCATGAAGAGGAGTCTCGATCGCAACATCGCGATGGTCATGTTCCCGCAATGATAACATGAATCATCCACGAGCGCTGCTGCCTCAGCGTGCTCAAAGCTAACGAGATGCAGCGATCGTGACCATCAGATGGAGCTAGGAAGCGACCGCGTCCAGAAACACATGAGTGGAAGGCCATCTTTAAAAAGACGCTGTGTCGCTCGTGGAGCTCTTTTTGATATTGCTCTTTTAGAAAAAAAAGTGCTGAAGCGCCAAGGGGAGGTCGCAGCGCGACCGCAGTTTGATAAGCTGCAGCACGCCGTCCAAAACACCAAAAGCAGCAGCACTGGACCAGCAACCCCCACTGACGTGCCGTAATACCAACACTGAAAAAAAACTCTGTCTTGCAGACACTCTTGCTCGGTTGAACCCACAAGCTGAAAGGCTCGGCTCCGAAGCAAAAAGCTGAATGTGCGACTGCACGCACTCTCCTTATATACCCGCACTGTGGGGCGGGGTGCGCGACGCAAAGCTCGCACGCCAACACTTATTGGCTTGTTTTGTTAACACTGAAAGGGGATTGGACTCTCTAGCGAGATCCCAATTCGTCAGTCACTGCTGACATAACGTTGAAGGTGACTGACTAAAAGGCAACTTCACTTTTAATGAAATGCCACAGTGATGCATCATGAGACAAAAAAGCAGTCAGCAGCACTAAATGAAAATAGTGAATACTACAAGATATTAATTCTTAAACTTTGTAAAATATACAATATTTTTGCCCTTACTGGTCTTAATTCAATACCATATATTATAGGATTTATCAACAGGGGGAACAGTCAGGTATATAACAGACAAAAAGGTATATAACTTACGAGACAAGGTTTTTGCTCTTAATTCTGTCTGGGAAGGATCTAAAAAAATAACAGGCTATGTAGTTCAGAAAGGTAATCAAGTGTGGCATGCATGTGCTGAAGAACTTCTCTTTATTTACTTTAGATCTTCTACAAGCTAGAATCATTTTTAAATAGGAAATCAAAACTAAACCAGTAAAGACAGTTATCGAGGCATACATCCACCCATTAAAAATCCCATATGAAATATCTTCTTTGCAACCAAGATTAACCAAGGACAGTTTTTCACAGAAAAGTTTATCTATGTCATCTATGCAAATAGGATTTTTCATAGCCACCAAAATGGCAATTATACTTGCAAAACAAGGATATATCCAAATAAAAGTCACTAAGCTCCACACAGTAAAAGGTGACGTCATACCAGGATAATGTAAAGGTTGACATATTACAATGTACCTATCAATTGCCATGACACTTAAATGTGATAATTCACCAACTGCATAATGACAAGACTTTGTACAATATATTCCTCATGTGAAATCCTGTTCGTTTTCATGAGTAAATATACCAAAGCCCGGGGATAAAATCCTGTAGTTCCACACAGATCATTAACACACAGATTACACAAGAAAATGTACATGGGCTCATGCAGGGCTTTTTCAAAAGTAATAATCTTAATCAAGGTGGCATTTAGAACAATAGTCAGAAGGTAACCTAGAAGCGCAAAAGAAAAAACTATGATCCTGCTGGTCCAGTCCCACTCATTCAGAGATGTGACAGTGAAAATATGAGAACAGATGTTTTCCATTTCTTCTCAAAATCTGACTCCAGATCAAACAAGGCCGACACAAACAATGTAGAATTTCTTCTGTGTTCAGTCTTGTGTTGTATCTGTTGGAAGACTTCAGATCATTATAGCGTTATAAGCAGTATGTTGTATTAAAATGGCTTGAAGGGCTGTGAGGTTTGGAGAAGGCATCTAAACACCTCTTTTAGAGATCCATCCAACATTCTGCTCACAGCTGCATGAGGGAGCTTTCTATACAGTCAGATACACAACATTATAATGATCTTAGTCCGTTGATAATTCAGAAATAATTATAGAATGCAAACTTGACCTTGAAGTGTTTTAGATGACTTTATCCTGCTGGAATTCTGAAGCAACTGAAATGGAGGTCCAGCAGAAACTCTACAGTTAAAGGTTAACTGTAGCTGAACTAAATGTTAATTTCAGGACCCTTTAAATGTTCCTCAGGGACTCTTCTAAATACCAGAGATTTTCAATATAACCACAACCTTTACCATAAAAACTCTGTCAATGTGGATTGTGAAATTTGAATGTTTGGGCCCTCTAAAAAATATTTTACCAAAGTTGTAAATAAATATGGAGTGCATTTTACATAAAAATAATATTTCAGACTTTTTATTTCCAAACCTTTCTCTTAATTCAATACGTTACTTGCTGGTAATTACTTGGTAATTATTTGGGAAATTTAAACATTTCTGAATGAAAATTGTTTCAAAGTAAATCCTACACCATTTTTTATCCATTGTATCAGTTATTGTGAACATTAATGCAGGAATCTTATCAGTGAAATGTGTGCTAAAGCCAATATTTTCTTGAAAATATTTACAATTCTGCTTTACTGAAACACTTCAGAAATATGCTTAAATTTTCCTGCATGTATTCACTGTATGCGAGCTACCTGCATTGTTTTTGAGGTATATTTTTTATATCTGAACTTTAATTTGTGGGCATTCTCATCAAAATTGGAGGAAAGGTTTAAGGGTTAGTTCACCCGAAAATGAAAATTAGCCCATGTTTTACTCACCCTCAAAGCATCCTAGGTGTATATGACTTTCTTCTTTCAGACGAATCCAATCGGAGTTATATAAAAAATTATCCTGGCTCTTCCAAGCGTTAGAATGAGAATAGGCGGGTGTTTTTGTTCAACAGTCCAAAAGTAGTCAAATAAAGCGTGCGCATCCGTAATAAAACGTGCCTCACACGGCTCTGGGTTTTGAATACAGGCCTCCTGTAGCGAATCTAAGCATTTTTGTAAGAAAAATATCCATATTTAAAATGTTATAAAGATTTTTATCTCACTTCTGCTGACTGTCATACGTGCAAGCCGTTCCGGGCGGATGACGTAGGATGTACGTAGGCCCATGCGCCGATGAGATATGCTAGTCTCGCAAGTTTGTTTACAGGAGCAAAGAAAGCAAATTTTCCTTACTTTAGCAAAGAAAACCAGTCTCTTCTTGTCAGGGATTCATCACAGTCACTTCAGTCACCATCCAGGATAATCACCCAATCACAGTCACCTGAGTTCTGATCACCCGCACCTGCTGTCACCAATCAAGCCACTCTACAAATACACACACATCTCAGTCACTCACTGTCCGGTCTACCGTTCACTCCTATGAACTGTTCTGGACTCTCTCTACGGAATTCTCCTAGAAAGACTTACCTCCTGTTCCTCCCGCGATCCTCCAACGACTCCTTGGAATCTGTTCCGCGATCTCCAACGAAACCGGCATAAGATACTCACCATCAGAACTCAGATAAGAACCCTGGAATCATTCACTGTGTTGACACTCACCTGCCTTTACCTCACCCGTTCCATTCATCTACTTATCAAGTCAATAAACCATCCTGTTTTGCACTTACCTGTTGTGTCTGGCCTTGCTTTGTGACACTTCTTGTCTTATATTGAAATCCTCCTACATTTTTTCTTTACAAATCCTCGTTTTGTGCTTCTAATTCGTGACTGGCATTTGGTTTTGCTCTCTCCTCCGCGCTTCCACGTTCGTCATGAATCACCGGCGCATGCGCGACGTGTACGTCCTACGACATCCGCCCCGGGAATGGCTTCCACGTACGACAGTCAGCATAAGTGAGAAAAAAAGTATTTAGAAAGTTTTAAATATGGATATTTTTCTTACAAAAACGCATCGATTCGCTACAGGAGGCCTTTATTCGCCCCCCAGAGCTGTGTGAGGCACGTTTTATTATGGATGTGCGTGCTTTATTTGACTACTTTTGGACTGTGGAACAAAAACACCCGCCTACTCCCATTCTAATGCTTGGAAGAGCCAGGATAATATTTTATATAATTCCAATTGGATTCGTCTGAAAGAAGAAAGTCATATACACCTAGGATGCTTTGAGGGTGAGTAAAACACAGGCTAATTTTCATTTTTGGGTGAACTAACCCTTTAAGGAATTACATCTCTTTAATATGTGCATACCCCTTTTCAAGGGACCATAAGTAATTGGACAGTTGACTCAAAAGCCATTTCATGGACAGATGTGGGCTATTCCTTCATTATTTCTACCTCAATTAAGCAGGTAAAGGGTCTGGAGTTGATTCTGGAGCTCTCCATACAAGTGAAACAAACAATTGTTAGGCTTCAAAAACAAAACAAATCCATCAGAGAGATAGCAGGAACATTAGGAGTGGCCAAATCAACAGTTTGGTACATTCTGAGAAAAAAAGAACACACTAGTGAGCTCAGCAGGATCTACAAGGACACCCTTCTACAAACACAGCTACCTCACTACCTGACGAGCTCAACGCCTTCTATGCTCGCTTCGAAGTCAGCGGCTCCTCCCCCACACAGAGCGCTCCCGCGGCCGAGACTGCTGAGGCTCGTCCACTCTCCGTGTCTGTAGCGGATGTTACCCGATCGGTCCGGCGCATGAATATTCGCAAAGGCGCAGGTCCAGACAGCATTCCTGGTCATGTCCTTAAAACATGCGCTCACCAACTAGCTGGAGTCTTCACGGACATTTTTAACCTCTCCCTTTCCCTATCTGTTGTCCCCCAATGTTTCAAAACATCCACCATTGTGCCAATACAAAAGACACCCATAGCTTCTTGCTTGAATGACTGGCACCCTGTTGCTCTGACTCCCGTCATCAGGAAGTGCTTTGAGGAGCTTATCAGAGATCACATCTGCTCTGTATTACCAGCATCACTCGACCCACTGCAGTTCGCCCACTGCAATAACCGCTCCACAGATGATGCAATTGCCTTCACCCTGCACACAGCCCTTTCCCATCTTGACAAGAGGAACACATACAGTATGTGAGAATGTTGTTTGTTGACTACAGTTTAGTGTTTAATACCATAGTGCCCTCTAAGCTTGTGGTGAAACTCTGGGCTCTTGGTCTGAACAGTTCTCTGTGCCGCTGAATCCTGGACTTCCTGACAGGCAGACGGCAGGTGGTCAGAGTTGGCAGCAACATCTCCTCCCCACTGACCCTCAACACTGGAGCCTCACAGGGTTGTGTTCTCAGTCCTCTCCTGTACACGCATGACTGTGTAGCCACGTCATCATCAAATTCGCGGATGACACAACGGTGGTAGGCCTGATCACTGACGATGATGAGTCAGCCTACAGAGAAGAGGTGCGCACCCTGACTAACTGGTGCCACAACAACAACCTCTCTCTGAACATCAAGAAGACCAAGGAGCTGGTGGTGGATTTCAGGAGACGGACCAGTGAGCACTCCCCCATCACCATCGACGGGACTCAAGTGGAGTGGTCAGCAGCCTAAAGTTCCTCGGCATTCACATCACCGAGGACCTCACCTGGACTACTCACACACAGTCAGTAGTGAGGAAGGCCCACCAGCGTCTCTTCTTCCTCAGGCGACTGACTAAATTTGGTCTGAGCTCAAAAATCCTCAGACAGTTCTACAGTTGCACTGTGGAGAGCATCCTGACTGGCTGCATCACCGCCTGGTACGGGAACTGCACCACTCTCAAACGGAAAGCCCTGCAGAGAATAGTTCAGACGGCCCAGCACATCGTCGGAGGTGAGCTTCCCTCCCTCCAGGATATCTACACCCAGAGATGTGTGAGGAAAGCACGGAAGATCATCAGAGACTCCTGCCACCCGAGCCATGAACTCTTCTCGCTACTACCATCAGGCAGATGGTATCCCAGGGTCAAATGTGTATATTGTGTAAAATGTGCATATTGTTATTTATGTATATTGTTAATTTTTCATATCTTGTTGCTTGTACTGCCATGGCACAGAGTCTTGTACCTAAGAATTTCACCATCGTTACACTTGTGTACACAATGTGTGACAATAAAGAGATTTGATTTGATTGATTTTGAGCAACAGAAAAAGGCATGGACGTCCACGGAGGACAACAGTGGTAGATGATCGGAGGATCCTCTCTATGGGAAAGAAAAACCCTTTCACAACATCCAGCCAAGTGAAGAACACTCTCCAGGAGGTAGGGGTGCCACTGTCAACGTCTACAATCAAGAGACTTCACAAGAGCAAATTGTGATGGAAATATTTTATGTAATGGCCTCAGAAGGAGTCAAAAGGGTATGTTTAACATAGAATGTTCAGAAAAGTGCAGACTAAGGATGCTCAGATGAAAGACCGTGTCTCGATTAAATAATCAATATTTACCCAAAAAGTGCTTAAAACAGTAGAACTAACAGTCACATGACAAACCAATGACCAGAGCAGTATAACCAAACACTGTCACGAATCCTGTCCTTGGACTTCCGTCCGATTGCCACCAGAGGTCACCTTTTCGTTAAATTGACTCTCATACTACACAAACTGTTGCAAGTCATCCCGGACTACATATCCCAGCATCCATTGAACTGATTAGACACACAACTGCTGCCAATCACACACCCTACATAAGCCATGGACTTCCTCTCTCTCACTGCCGAGTATTGTTAGCATTATCGCTGTCTTCGCACAGCTACACTACGGAGCCTGTTCGTTAGCCATTGTTTATTTTCCAAGTCCTAGTCTCAGTCTAGTTTTGCCTTGCCTGTTTTCCGGTCCTTTGATTCTC